TTGGTATCACAATAGGGCTTGACCCCTTCCTAGCTACCTTAAAACTTCCCAGTCCCCTTGCCTGTAAGCTTGCCTTCTTACCCAGCCTTATGTCTTCCAGCATCTACACATCCAACCACCTGCTTGGCAGAAAAGGGGAAAGAAGTCTCTTCTCATGCCCACTGCCTATTGGTAATATGGTGATATGCCAGATGTCACAAGAAAGAAATTTCCCCAAAGGTAACCAATATCAGGATGCTTACAAAGCTACATTTTGAGGCAGTTCTGACACACCACCTGTTGCTGTAGCAGCACTGACACCAATCAGGCACCAGGGGATGAGGAGAGTGGGAGAAAAGTGGTACCCCTTCCCTTCCACTACCAGAGTTGGAGGAACAACTGCAGGCACAAGGTAAAGGAGTTGATAGGAGGGAAGGATTGGAGGAAAGTGTGGTTGGGTGGTATGGAGGAATAGTGTCCTTCTCTAACTCAGATTAAAACCTGAGCTGAAGATGACCAGGTTGCTGCATCAGGTGGAGGGAGGCAGACATAAAATTCACCTTTTTATTTGAGAAATTATTAAGAAGTCACTGAGATTAATATTCTGCACCAATGAGTTATCTAAGAGGCATTTATATATCACTTAATCATAAGTATTTCTAAGCGGTGAATTATGAAAGTTAGAGGCATCTCACTAAGACCTAATTTACATGGTAATGTCTTAAATATAATGATAATTCAACACTGTAGGTCAGAGCTGGCAGCAGTGGTACTCCTTGCCCCACCTCTTTAAAAATCACTCATATCCCTTCTGATTTGGATGCTATGATTATTGCAGGTTCATTGTTTGTAGATTCACTGCCTACTTATTCAGTTTGTCATGCCTAAGAATCCACCTTTTCATTGAATGGAAGTCTTGGAGAATTGGGACCTACGATACTTGACACTGTCCTTCCTCACATAAAACCTGCAAGAGGGGGACTGGCTGTGTGGACAGGGGAAAGTGATTGATGCCTTTTTGTGAGATGTAGATGTTTAATCTTTAGGGAGAGTTTTAGGCGTTTGTTTGCTTTTTAAAAACCCTCTCTGAATCTTACTGAACATTTCTGACAAGTCTCTGATATTCACTTTCAGGCAAGATGTCTGAATGCATATTAACATCACATTTCTAGCTTTTTCTAGTTGACATGGATTATCTAGATCCATTTCAATATGATTTTAGTTTCCATTATTGGACAGAGACAGCATAATTCACTTCTATGAATCTATGACAGGAACATGAGAAGAAAAGTGTATCCCTGTTGGTTTCGTGAGACCTCTCACCATTTTTTGAACCCATTAGCAGATATCCTTCTCATGGTATCCTTCTGCAAATTATTGTACCCAAGCAGAGGTAGCCAATGTGTGACCTCCATATGTAATTAGACTCCAGCTCCCACCAGCCCCAGTCTGTATGGTCAATGGTCAGGGATGGTGGCAGTTGGAATTCAAAAATGAGGGCTCCACATTGGCTAGCCTTGGATGAGAGCTAGTAAAATACATTGTATAAATAGACTAAGCACAAGAGATAACAGAAGCTCACTGCTGGATTTCAGTTCTCTTTCAACGGACACATCCCAGCCAAGCAAAAGCATTCAAGGGAGGCACAGAGGAGGACTGTTCAGAGGCCTAGCCTGGAGATAGGAACTGTGAACTGAGGAGGGACAGGCCTGGGAGATGTTCTGACTCTGAAGTTTCCCACCCCTGTTGTACTTCTTGTGTCAACATGTCACAGAACGACGTCCTACTAGGTCCAGAGGGACTCTCTCTCAAATACATGTGCATAGGTTTGCTTCAAAGACAGAAACTGGCACAACCTCTTGTGAGTAGTTGGCTAGCATTACATTTTATGCTGAAAGCTACATTGCCTCCATAAGAAATAATAGCTGGAAAGAAAGCAAACAACAAGCTTGTGATTTTGGAATATAATAAACATCAAATTGTACAATGGTAAATATTCATGATCTCCAGTGTTCAGCCTTTCCTGTTTTTCCCTGGCAGCTGTACCAGCTGCACACTGCACATTGTTTGTGCCTACATTGTTTTGTCAAATCAGTGTTTAAAAAAGGGCTCACGTTCTGAAATCCATCCTGTTTCAAAGATGCATTTGTTTTCCAATGCACAGTGCTATGTTATCAACACTTTGATAAAGCCCACAACATCAGCATAACGTTTTGTTTTGCACATAGGCTCTTCTGTTTGAATAAGGATTCTTATGAGAGAAAGTTTGACTGTGCTAGCCAAGGATTTTGCAGCACAGTTCCTCTTCAAAGAAATGGAAGACTTGAATGTTTGAAAGGTTCTAAAGATGCACACGGCTCTAACAATATGGCCTTGCAAGGCTGTGGGTGGGTGGTGCGGGTGTGAATAGATGCAACCAAAGCAGCACATTTGACTCCACTGCATGTAAATTTTGGCAACACACACAATTTCTTGTTAATTTTAAGTATGATGTATCGTATTTATAATGTTGCTCTGTTGTAAGCACCCAAGGAATATTTATTGATATGTAGGCACATAAATTTAATAGTTAAATAAATAAGTGGATATTTTCAGCCAGTTTTCCCCCTCTAATGTCTTTAGATTGCTTTGGTCATATCCATCACATAGTCAGGGGGAAAGACTATGTTCATCTGTTTCAGCAAAGTAAAAGCAAAAAGCAGGAGTCCCATAGCAATTTAAAGGCTAACTAATTATAGTATAAGCTTTCATAAACCAAAGTTCGCTTCATCAGATGCATGGAGCATTAGTTTCAGATGTGGACAAAGAGAGAGGGAAGTAAACAGTGGTGTCAAATGTCCTGAAATGCAAAGGTAGCCTGTGGCAAATTGGTTAAAGTCCGACAGTATACAAAAGAAGAACACTGCCCACTCTTTGATGATTATGTAGCCATCTCAGCCACCTTAGCACTTGTAGTAGGACAGAAAATTATCAGTTAAAATATAATTTCCCTGTCTCTCAGCCTCCCAAGCACTAGTCGGAAGAAAGTATGAACAGTAGAGGCTGGTGTAGTGAAGTAGAGAAGAATAGACAACAGCATCCTAGGCTGATGGTCATAGGCTGTAGAGGCCATTCATCGACAGTATTAACACAGTGCTCCACCAATTTACCAGAACCCTTCATGCACATACACACAATGAAAAAAAGAAGACATTTTTGTGTGAATTTCAAGATAGGACAATTTTGATTAAAATATTGTGGTGTGTGTGTGTGTGTGTGTGTGTGTGTGGCTTTTTATTAATCTTGTTATGAAGTGGACAAACTGTTTTTTTAAAAAAAGGTTGTAATGCTGACCAGTATCTTAGTAGGCAGTGTGCTTTCTGAAAGGCTCATGGGAGAACTTCATGGCCAGGGAGTAAGCACAGTCCTAGGTAGCAATGGCAGTCAGACGCAAACTATCTCCAGCAGTGGAGGCACAACATAGTAACTATGGCTAGCAGCCACTGATGTATCAAAGTTAGTGGCCATCACTATTTCTTGGGGAGTGGGAATTCCATAGTTTGATTATGTGCTGTGTGAAGAAGTCCTTTTGTCTATCCAGAATCTTCCAACATTCAGTTTCATTGAACACCCTGAAGTTCTAGTATTATGGGCAACAGAGGAAATGGAAGCAGCTGACTGAGAAGCAATGAGATGAATCAATAAAGCTTGCCTAGGGTGTAAGGGCAACTGGTCTTGTGACATGTCAGACCAGGGAGAGGTTAGTGAGTTGAATTTTCATATACTTTTTTCCAAAGTAAAAGACAGCATCATTTATTTCATATGGGCATTTTATGAAGATTGCCAATGAAACTATGATGGACAGCTTGTTTTAATTTTATTGTTTTGCTTCTACATCATCTACTGCATATTCATGCCTTAGCTCTCAAGATTATGTTTTTAAAACAATAACTTACCCATTTCAGCCATTATTCCCTTTTGAAAGCACAGACTTAAGCAAAACTGAGAAAAAATAATGACGACTCTTGAAATAAACTTTCCAGTGACTTGTGAAATGAAATCTCGTTTATTGTGTTTCTTTGCTCATTAATATTCAAAGAAATAATGTGTAATCTCTGAGAGATCAGCTGCTGCAAAGAGTGCTGTGAGCGTGATGGAACTGAACTTTGCACATTCAGAGACATGTCTTCAGGGGTCACCGTGGCTGAGGGAAACTTCACACATTACATCTACAGAGAAATAATAGGAAAATGTCTTCATCCATATACACAGTCATCTGTGAAAAATTGCATAACAGTTTATTTCAAAAGCATTTTGAACTGACCCAGAAAAAGTAAGTCAGTGCAGATGCTTCAGAATGGTCTATTTTTTATTTTATTTCAAACCACCACATTCTGTAGTAGTGGAAGTTTCTGAAGTGTTTTGAAAAGTTGTTCCCCACATAGAGACTGTGTTTGGACTAGTGGGTTGTGAGTGGATTGCTGAATTGTGGCAGCAACCTCCACCCTAACCTACACACATTCACCAGAATATCTATAGAGAACAATCTACACATGTACACTGGTATTAATGGAGATTCTCTACAGATATTCCAGTGCTGGTGTGTAACTCAGGAGGAAAACAATTGTAATAATGCCACACCCTCACAAGGCTTATTCACTGAATGCCCAAAGAACCTTTCTATACAGGTCTGGTGGGCAAATGACTAATATTGGATCCTGTTGGCAGTCATTTTCTTAAATACTCTTCTGCTTCTTGGAATGTGAGACACAGTTGTCTTCTAAATTTCAAAACCACATTTGTGAAAAGTGAATAAAAGTACTAATAAATAATTATACTGTATATACTTGAGTATAAGCCGACCCGAATATAAGCCGAGGCACCTAATTTTAGCACAAAAAACTGGGAAAACCTCTTGACTCAAGTATAAGCCGGTTCACCACACCACAAACCTGGTGGTGGTGGCAGTGGCGAAGGAAGAGCAAGCAGCCCAAAAGGGCTCCTTTTGGGCCGCTCATCCCTCCACCGCGCCTCTGCCACTCGTAAGAGCAGGCATAGGAGCCGCGGTTGGGAGAAGCACAGCGCAGCGCTTCTCCCAACTGTGGCTCCTGTGCCTGGCCTTGCGAGAGGCAGGCAGTGGCGGGACCAGTGGTGACAAAGGGATCCTTTCGGGCCGCTGGTCCTTCCACCGCCACTGCCCGCCTTACTCAAGTATAAGCCGAGGGGGGCTTTTTCAGCATAAAAAATGTGCTGAAAAAGTCGGCTTATACTCGAGTATATACGGTACTTAAGATTTTGCACAAAAGGGACTTTTTATTTCTCTCTCTCTCTTTCATTTTCACACTTGTATTTATGTGCAAACCTTTCAGAATATAATTATTTTTTTAGAAGTCTTTTTTCATGACCCATCTAGTCTAGGATCCTTTTTCTGACAGTGAAAACAGTTACTGGTCTCGCTTCTTCAGTACTTCTGAAGCTTGAGTTTTCAGTGTTTTCAGTGCACAACTAGGAATTGCTCAATAATGATCTCATTATACTGGATCTTCTAAAAGTTTAGATTCTTTTATGTAGTTGGTAGTTCAACCCCTTTCCTCTTTCCTCAGCAGATTACTTCAGCATTAATCTGCAGTAACCTCCAGAATACAGCTGACCTTCTCAGTTACAGTAAGAAAGCTTTTCTGCCCCACATGAATGTAGAGACATGAATGTATACATACATCTTCCACTAATCTCCATATTATTGATGGCTGATGGTAATTTTTATCATCTGAAATATAAGGCAGCTAGAGAGCTGGACTTGGGTAATGTTTTGACTAGTTGTTCATTATCAGCATTTTCATAATATTGTTGGTGTGCCATATCTGTGCAGCAATGGAATAACATATTCTTGGTATCTGCCCTACAATTATTTCATATTCTGCCCTCTGAGACTGTCATGAATGGGCCACAGTGCTGCTGTTTTATAGGGCTTGTAAAATGAAGAACAGCCTGTAGCCGAGTGTGTACTTTATAAAAGTATTCTGTTTCAACTTGTTATGTGTTATTTATCCACCGAATGCTTTGGTTTGAAATGTATTACCAACATAATAATCACAGCTTGGATCAAACTTGGGAAACAATTTAGATATTATTAATTTCACATATTTATACAAGATTGACAAAAGTGAAAAGAAATATATATATATATATATATATATATATATATATATATATATATATATATATCTAAACCACTTTGTAGTTTTCAGCTCTGTAAGTGGTGTATAGTAGAATACCTTGAGGCCTTTCAAAATCTTGCCATGCGCTTCACCCCGTGCTGTGTGACAATATCCATCCATCTCCTATGACAAAATATACTTTGAATGTCTTGCTCCTAGTGAAACCTTATATTTAACAATACTGTAGTGTAATTCCTCTTGTCAGTCCTGTCACATTACTGAGAAGTCACACTGGAAGACTAATCATGGAATAATTAGCACTGGTTGACTTGGAATATTTTGCTGTTAGCCTCCAGAGGAAATAGTTCAGCATCTAGAATTTCATATTACAAACAGGCAAATGATGGCTAATCATGTTCTTGGGAAAAGGAAATCACCCACTAGTTTATATATATTGCTAAAATCTAAAGCCACATCACTTTTCAGGCAAATGTTTTCTGCCCTATTTGTTGCCTTTAAAGCCCTTCTAGAAGGAAACAAAGTTGTAGGGGTGGAAGAATCTGCTTTAAGCTCTTGCATTAAGCTCTTTCTTAAGTCTGAGCTACCTATGCATTGTCAGATTCAGGGTTTTATTATTATTATTTACATGTAAAATTATATATGCAAAAACGATTATATTACCAAAATAAAAATAAAAATAGTCAAGTCCCACGTGGTAGTATATTTTTGCAGGATAATTTAAATATTGTTATATGCCATCCCCAATATCCAGAGCAGTGCAAGATTCCAGGTACATTTTACCCCAGGTCTGTGTTTCCTTTTGGAAATGTGGCACAGTGGAGACTGAGGTGTCTTTATGATGTATGGCTTATTTACACATCTATACAACCTGAGCCTGCTGTGGAGGGGTTCAGAACATCAGCATTCCAAGAGAGCATCCATGCCTTGCTCCAAGTTACATCCCAGTTTCTTTTCTCTCTCTAGCCTAATCCCTGGCCTTTTGAAACACTGGCAGAGGCCCCACTCCCTTTGATCCTCTTGTTGTGTTAATGACCCATTATCCCAAGCTAACACCTAAAAGGAAATTATTTAAGATAATTAGTTTCTAACACATGTAGATTCCAAGGGATTAGTGAGGTGTCCAATACACAATTTAGGAAGTTTGCCTAGCTATATTGCCTAGCTTTCACACATGCTAATTAAAGGATTAGAAGCATCTAGTGTGCAGTTCAAATGCACACATGGATCTGATTATATTCCAACTCTTGAGGGTTTGATACTCAGCTTTAACTCCTGAGCATTAATTAAATTCTAACACCTACAAACCTATGACAATATTAATACAGTAATATTTTTATTAGGGTGTGCACCACATTCAGCCAAGTACCGAGCCAAACTGGGCATATTCAAAAAGACTAGTCAGTCATAGACAGTTGGGTTGAATAAACCAGGGTGGAAAAACCATGTGAATGGTTTGAGACCTACCTGAATGGTGGCTATGGCTTCCAGGAGCAGATAGGCCCAATGCCATGGTTCTCCTTCCTGCTTGATGCTCTACCCCACAGAATCAGCTCATTGATCCTGTTGGGTTGCAGGTGCTACAGCATAGCACAGGATATGATCTTACCACTCATCAGCTGCAGGGTGCCAGTCATTGCTTCTTCATGAGCAGCTTGCTTCGCTTACATGAAGGGAAGCAGCTCACAAAGGATCAGCACTACAGTGGAACAGAGCCTATTGCTTATGTCTTCAAACTCCTCCCAACCATATTTTTAAGCCCTGTGTAAAGCACTTTACTTGGCAAATTAGGTCCTTCCTTAAAGAGGGCAAGTATTGCAGTGAGACCTGGACAACCAACACCCTGTGCTGTGGGTGGGTACGATTGGTCAGCCACAACACCCGATTGGTAGGTCCCTCAAAGCTGGGTGCAATCTGGCCAATGGGACGCAGTCTAAATGGTTCGAGGGACCTATTTATGCCCATGCACGTGATCCAGAGCTTCCTCTTTTGGCGCATGCATTCGGAACACCCACCCACCTCTCCCTACTTTTAGGGCTTTGCATTTGACCTTGCTATTCCATTGTGTGTCATCTGTCATTGGGACAGGGGCACGGCAGGAATTTTCCCCACTTGGCTGATTAGCTGTTGTCATTTGGGTTTCGCCTGCCACATAGCAAATCTTGTAAGGTTGCAGATAGGCTTTTGTTCAGGTGATAGGGATGGGAGAACGCTCTCACCATCTCTATGTGAATGGTATTCCGTTAAAGGAATCCAGGGACTCAGTGGTTTGGTCAACCCCTGAGAGGGGGTTGTGCCCATGCCTGAGTTCAGGGGGACATTTGGGTGGCGGAGTTAGCCCATTCCCAGTTTTCCGCTTATCCGGGTGTTTACCCTTGGCTGACCTGTGCTGGAACCCTGGGTCAGTGCTACCTGCATGGCAGGGAGCTAGTTGAACCAGAGCCTATGCAACCAGTCACTTTTCTGTAATCAATAAAGTTGTGGCCTAAATTCTGCCAAAAACCAAAACCAAAATTTGAGTCTTGTGTGAATTTATTTAGGGGGGAGGTTTCTGGGTCTGAACACGCAAAGATCTGCCACACAGGAAAGATTGTTGGTGTGGCACCTTTGACAAGGATTGGAACCTTGCAATAGTAGCATAAAGAAATGAATTGTTCCCTAACAGAAACACCAGGGACGTGCTACTAAAAGCCCAAGTGCAGCAGCTCAGAGAGTTGGAACTTTAGGTTTTGTCTGCCTTGGTTCCAACTATTTACTTGTATATTATATTGAAGAGGCAAAAATAGACTCAAAACTATACGCCAAAAAGCATGGTGTGGTATGTAATGCACCTCCTAATAGACAAAGTCATAATCTCCCATGTCGTTTTATAATACTTATACTGAAATCCATAGCATGATATCATCAAGATAATTAAACCATGAAAAGCCCTCCAAGCTATTAGAGGCCATTATATCTCTATTGTACCCATTACATGAATGAACAGGATGTGAGAAATGGAGTATTACTTCCACTAATGTACTAAAGAACACCAGGTTCTCCATGTTAGATAATTCCACATTCATTTTCAATAGCAGGTAAATGTAACCTCTACAGTTTAGAAGAAATGGTTCTGATCTTTAAGAGTAAATCTTCTTTGTTTATTTGTATCTAAGATGATGATAGCAAGTATCACATTTATGAGCCAAAATACAAGCATATTAGTCTCTTATAGTTTAAGGAGCCATTCTCTAGAGCTGGTCTGAAGTCAGAGTCTGGGGCTTTGGAAAACGAGAATCACATCACTACATAAATATTGCTATTTTACCCAGCAAAACACCCCCCCCCAAAAAAAGATTCCCTATAAGAATAAATGATATAACTCATGTTGCCTCATGAACTTCTGAAAGATTTTGAAATCAATCACCAGCAAGTGCTATTTCATTTGCATCCTGAGTATATGATATATACAAAAATATTTTGGAAGAAATTGCTCTTGCCCACTAGTGAATTTCAGATATCTTCTAGAGAGCTTCATGGCTCAGGATCAGAGGCAGCATGTAATCACTAGAGGAACATCAGTGAATGAAGGCTAATTTTTGCCCTCATATGGGCAATTAATATTAGCATAAAAAACTGACACTGCTTGACACACACACACACACACACACACACTGCCCGTACGGTTTCCTCCTGTTATTTTCTTTGCTCTTCTTTGTCAGGTTTTGTGGGCTGTAAGACTTCCAATACATTTTGATAATAAATAAGTGACTTCAAAATTTGTAGGCACAAAGCAGATCACAACCTTCAGAGTAAAGGTTGTGGCAACCCATTCATCCTCATCTTTGGAGAATTGAAGGAGCCGAGAAGGTCATTAGACAAAAGAAAGGTCATGTCCATTCCACATACCACTCTTTTCTTTTTTGTTTTTTAGGTATATATTTAAAATTGGTGTAACCAAAGATCCTC